CGCTATTTTCACTGAAAGAGTGATTCAGTGAAAATAAAATCAAGCGAATATACCTTTTTCCCCATATTTTACATTCAGAAACCAGTGAAAATAAATTCCATACAAAATAACCAAAAAGTCTTTTCAGCGAAAATTAATTCCAATGAAAAAAAATTTCACAATTTTGTAAAGCTTTGTTACTTGGGGCTTTTTGGAGGTCTACATTTTTCAATTTAACACTTGAGTTCAATTCATATTTAAAATTTACTGTATTTATGTTCCAAGGTATACAAGATTGTACTCATCACACCCCGTCTTTTCCTTTGTTAGGGTGACATGTTTTCTATGAGTCGAATGTCATCAATCAGTGTGATACTTAACATTCCAGTGCCAGAGCCTACAATAACTAACAGTCATGAGGTCAGTGAATTTGAATATTTATTGTGAATGTTTTGTGATATTTATCCTGATTTATATACTAGTATGTATTGATGTTTCAATTTGAATCTGACAACGAGCTAGTTTAATCCCATTTGGTTGGAATCTGAGAATGTACATGATTATTATTTTTTTTTTTTTTTTTTTTTTTTTCAGCCTAATCTCACAAAAAAAAGGAAGGTAGAAGAAAATGACATTGGAGATTTTGTTCAAGGTATTTAATTTCATGATTTTATCTGAAGTCAATTATTTTTAATGTTTGTAGGCTTGTGTGTGTGAGTTGCATAAGTTGGAAAGTCAAAGTGAAGATTGAGTTTTATAGGGTAATTACCCTCATACCACCAGGGTTCTCCATGCATTGAAAATTAAACGGGGCGCGCCAATGTGAAGTGGGCGTGGCACATTTGTAACGTGCATCATTGGCATGGATGTTGAAAAATGGAAACCAAAAAATCTATTAATCTACATATTATTCCATATGCATAATATATATTTATTATTACAAAATAAATGAGAATTTTGAAGAGCTATTATTAAGTAAACGTCAGCACGTACAATCAGCTGATCAAAATATTGTTTCAATTTGTTGAAACCACATGTGTATGTTTCTGTAATCCTGGCCAGAAAAATGCATGTTGGCCAGCTCAAACTTCTACAAAATGGATGTAAAACAAAACACGTACGTCTAACACCTGACATAATTGAAGCACGCCCTCATCGAATTTGAGATAAAACTCCATGAAAAAAACTCGTTGGCTAACAACCATATTATTTGTAGGCTATGAATGCTGATAGGCTGATTGGTGGTGTGAGACCCTAACTGACATAGATGTTTCCTCCAACCTAGTGATAGCGCCCTCTAGTGATATACAAGTTTGTATAGGATCAAAGACCCAATCAAATTGCCGATGAATATCGTGAAATGAGATTATAAAAGCTGACTGCAGGGCAACGTTTTGGGGCACCTTATTCTGACTGTCTTGAATACTGTAGAAAACTTTACTTTAGCTGGAATTAACTTTCGCTGAAAAGGCATTTTGGATGTTTTGTATGGAATTTATTTTCACTGATTTTTGACAAGTTGTATGTAAAATATAGGAAAAAATGAATATTCGCTGGATTTTATTTTCACTGAATCATTCCTTCAGCGAAAATAGCGAAAATTAATTCCAAGCGAAAATAAGGCATTTTACAGGACCTTACAATTTGACTGATAATTTCTCTTGTGTATCTAGGTAGTCGAGTTTTGGCTCTTCCTACTGGATCAGTGCCATGTAATGCCCAAATACAGGAGATGGTAGACCAATTAAAACCAAGTATCTGTACTCTTATCGATAAATGTAATCTTATTAAGATGTGGGTGCAACTGATGATACCAAAAATAGAAGACGGAAACAACTTTGGAGTGTCAGTTCAGGTGAGCCTATGTTTTTTTACTGAACTTTGTCAGAAATGGTGACCAATTATTTCTAAGTTTGTGATTAGTATGGGATAGTTTCACAAAGCTTGTGACTTGTGAAGGCATCTGAAATATACTAGTGCACATTCAATCATTTCAGACATTTCAATTCTACTGTGTCTGTCGAGGACAGTCATATTTAGAGCCTACAAATTCACACATTGCTGTTCAAATGCTGAAAGATACTTTTCACATTTTCTTTAGGCTGTTTATTATGGCATTCATACTAGTTGTTTTCTCATCATTTTAATTTAACAATCGTGCTGGTAAATAATTGTACTTTAACATTGCTGGAACTTGACCTTTATTCTAAGTACATGGGGCTGGGTGGTCGAGGGGAAAACATGTTGTGATGTAGACAATTTGATTTTGAGCCATGATTCAAGTTCCGCATGCAGTACATGATTACTTTGATTTAACATAGCATTTACATGTACTTTGCCTTGTATTTGTTTTTATTTACTTGCTTTACTCTGTGTTAGCAGCTACAAGTTTACAATTCTCGCACTAGACGAACTCCTTACCGACTCTAAGCCTAATTTCTAACCTTCCGAAATAAATACAGTTTTTGCTCTATTAGTAACTCATGCACTTGCGTAAATGACAGGTTTGCCTACAGGGCATTTATTTACTTATGCAGGCTTCTATTAGAGATGTTGTTCCAATAGAAAACATACAGTAATCTTCAAATATTGCAAACATGCTTTGTATAATTAAAAATGGTGTCCTACGAAACAATCAATGTAAATTTTAATATATATTCTTTAATGTATACCCATTGAGCGCCAAAGCCAACATTTTTCAAGTTTCATAAAATAAACTACCAATAGCGTAATTTTTAAATATTTTTTTCAAAATTGTTTATCAAACTTGTAACTGGGAAAAATGATTTCCTTCTGTTCAAAAATCAAAGAAATTATAGAAGAAGAAAAACTGAAAATATAAAAAAAAAATTGGACAAGAAAATTTTTGCATTCAAGAGATTAATGTCAGGTTTGTCTATTTATTTATACAGGAAGATGCGTTGAGTGAAATTCGTCAAGTCGAAGGAGAGGCAGCATCATATCTGGACCAGATATCACGATACTACTTAACAAGGGGTAAAATAATATCAAAAGTTGCAAAATATCCACACGTACAAGACTACAGACAGTCTGTCATGGAATTAGATGAAAAAGAGTTTATTAGTCTACGACTGGTGTTACTGGAACTTAGAAATCATTATGTAAGTTCAATTTCTGTAATAAATGTGACCTCTATTTCTATAACTCCACACTTTTAAATAGATTTGTAATCAGCAACAGGTTTTGTCATATGCAGATAAATATCACATGCATATGAGTAATATTCATAGTTTGGGTTCATGCACAAGTAGATTATTAATTGGCACACTCGTTAGTGTCAAGATTTGTAATTGGAATTAGATGTGAATGAATGTTCTGTTGAAAAGGTTGGTCAAGCTGAACCATGATTTTCATACTGGTAGTCAGTATCTATAATCCCTACTCTGAGGGATTTGGTTGGGATAGCTATACAAAAGTAAAAATTTCAATACGTTTGTCCTTGCGTGATATGCACGGCAATGCACTGAATAATCTTAGTGTTTAAACAAATTGGGCGCAGCAGTGTGTGTGTGTGTGTGTGTGCATTCATTTCGTATTTTTGTCAGATTGTCGTTATATAAGCATTAATCACACTTTGTAACAGCAACAGCTTTGTAACATTTACGAAATACTGACAATATGTGTGGCTGTTGTACTTAAAACAGCAAGTGTGAATAACTATATAAATATGTATTTTTAGTGCTGTTTTGTGACATTTGATTTTTATTGGCACGGAAATAGATTTCTGATATGATTCGTTGCTTCGTTACAGACTTCCCTGTATGACCTGATTTCAAAGAATTTAGATAAAATCAAGAAACCTAGGGGGACCAACACGGACAGCATGTATTAACTCGAGAAGAAACCACGAGTCGAGTTGAAAATGTTGATCTTTCTTCAGTCTCAAAATACCCGGTAGTGTTTAATTTACGTGAACTGACCCAGTATTCTGTGAACATGGTTGGCTTTGACATTGAACGATGATGACATTTCTGGACTTTTCTTTGACTCTTTATTGCTGTGATGAATAGATCATTTATCAACCTGACTTGCCATTTGTCACTTGTGGCAACTTGTGTTTGGATTTGCGCATTTTATTGGTTGTAACAACTCTATCCCAAAATGTTAGTGAATATATGAACACTTTTATAGTTTTGTTCTTTTAGCCCCTCAAAAAAAAAATTGGTGTACTTTTGAAAAGTAGTAAACACATGAAAATTCAAATTCGCAAAGTGTTTCGAAGAAAATACCTTCAGATGCTATTATTTCCTTTTGCCAAGAAAGGTTACTTCTGGAAGGTGTTTTATGCAAAAGGTCTCCATTATGTTAAACAGATTCCAATACGTATATAATTTATAATATCATTGTATTTTATGTGTATTTTCAAGTCCTGTTTTTAAAAACTCTCTGACCCTTGGCAGATCTCTGTACCAAGTGATCTGCAGAGGTGTTGGGTATTGAAATAAAATTTATGTAAAAAAAACAACAGTTGTCTGCCTTGCAGTTGAATGATAATTTCCAATACCCTGAGAAAGTGTTTCAGAGATGAGATGTTTGTATGCAAGTGATATTTCTCATACAAAACTCTGAATTTTGTTAAATTTATACAACTCCTTCATTTAAATAATTTGGCTGTTAAATGTATGTACAAATCTGTAACAAGTTTCACAACTTTAAATTGAAGATTTTATTATAAACTGGTGATTATCACTTGTGTGCCAGCTGACTAGTATTACCGGTACTCTGATGAATTTCAGATCTTTCCCAGAAACCCAAAATATTTGAATTAACCTTTAATGATAGGGAACAGATATTTTGCACATGCACGACACAAAGACCACAGTCCTTGTGAAACTAGTTGTATAGGCAGTTCACATTGGTAGACTTTGACCCTTATTGCTGTGATGAATAGATCATTGTCACCTGCGGCAACTTTTACTTGCACATTTTGTTGGTTGATGCCTTATCTATGTAACAACTCTATTCCAAAATGTTAGTGATATATATATATATATATGTGAACACTTTTATTAGTTCCCGTTCAAAGTCCGAAAACGGGGACTTATAATTCGGTCTCTGTCGGTTCGAACTACGCGCGGGGGAGTTTTAATTTTATGATGTAGATAGGCAAGTGTAATTCACAGATAGATCACCATTGTTTGACACCCCCTGCCATGTGAATTTGAATTAGAGGCATGACAAACGTTAAATTGTATTCAACACATTTTGAACTGATATTTGAGGACACTGCCTTCACCATATTATTCAACACAAGAGGGCACTTGACTTATACAAAGGGTCTATTCGCCACTTTAGTCCAGAACTAACAATACAATTACAAAGAGTTGCAATTGCTGTATTCCCTATCCCAGAATCTCAAATTCGGTCATTACTCGTATGTCAACATTGTAAGCCCCATGTAAAGATTTATTGTTGGGCACCATGGCAACAAGCATTCATATTCATGAAATGTATGGTAATGTAATTTTAGTGTCTCATTCCCATCCTCAGACTTGCTTTTTCGCACACATACTTTAAACAATTTTAGCAAGTGCAATAACATAGACATGCACCTCAATTTGTTTTACTTTCACTTGTCATCTATGTTTTTCTTTGCTTTATCTTAAACCGAAGGGGTCGTCATGCAATAAGTGTTCGAATTTGATGTAAATAAACAATCTGTTGTATTTGCCACTTGGGACTCAAGGACAAGCTCCTGACAACCCCTCCATTTTAATATGACGAGCACAATAAGAACTTTCAAAATTTTACGGGGACTATGTCATTTTCAATGGCTTGTAGTTTTGTCATTTTAGCCACTATTAGCACCAACCCGCGCGCAAACAAAGGCGCGTCTTATAGGCTAGTCCATATTGGAAAACTCGTTCTTTTAATATTGGCCAAATGCCATGTGAACTTTATAAAAAATAACACATTCAAATTCTAAAATATAATTATATTAAAATTACAGATTGCACTGGAATGTACATTGTGAAAATTTGCCAACAAAATAAAAGCAATGGATGTGTTGCTATACAAGCCAAGTAAATTATGGAACATGACAAGTAGTTTGCTAATATTGCCCAAAGATACATAGACATCTTGATTCTAACGTATTCCTGCCTGTTCACTGAATAGGATTTGGGATGACCCTTCAAGGTCGAACATCCTGGCATTTTTTGGGGTGTTGTCCTTTTAACAGCAATAATTTTTAATATTTATTGTAACTACGGTACGTTTTTTTCGTGTTAAATTGTTTGTCTTTATTGGGCATTTTTTTTTTTTGATAAAATGTTTGAGAAATTGATAGTAAATTTACTGTATTAGTATTTATGGAGTATTTGATGCAAACATGTAGCTGAAACTGTTGAATATATAAAGTCAATCAGAGTAAAAAAAAAATGTCTTAGAAACAACAAATTCGTACAAAACATTGCTACCGCAAAATTTTTACAAGGGTAACAAAAGGTATTCCTTGAATAAAACTTGTACATTATAAAACCTTAAATAGTATCTGTCTGGATACTATTTAAACAATAGTGTAGTTCAGA